CCGTGCGCCCCGGCGCGCAGCCGCCCTCGCCCTCGCCCTGCCCTGGCCGACTGGCACCTCGCCGAGCGCGCCCCCCGGCCGCTGACATCACAAAGGGCCCTCCAAACAGAGGCCTGGATAGCATCCTGCCGTACTTTTAAAAGGGAATTACGGGCTTTAATTACGGCCGTCCTGTGAAAGGGAGCCCGGTGGAGTTCTCCGGGAGGCCTTTGATCAGGGGCTGCCGCGAGCACAATGGTGCGGAACTGTGACTATTCTCCGCCGCGGAGGAGGGGCCCTTTCGGCCCTGAATGGCTCGCCAGCGCGCTTTGAATGCAGGCGCGCCCCGCGAGCCCTCCCTCTTCATTAAGCGCGGATTTCTATACAGGGCCATACAGCGCGCCGGAGCCGCGGAGCCGGACAATTGGAGGGGGAAAGAAACCCTACAGATTCTAGCTGCTACTTAGGAAGTGATGAAGGGCCCTGGGTGACTTAATTCATTAAAACAGGTTGCTATTAATTAACTGTCATAATCAAATAAAGAGCCATTATTTGCATTTCTTAGCGTTGTTCCCTCTCGATCGTGCGCGGGGGTGAGGGAAAAGATTCTTGTAACAAAAAAATGAATTTATTTAGTGGGGGAGGATAAAAACACACATATGCACGCGAGGGAGGAGGGGGAGGAAAGTGGGGGGACACGCCTCCCCCGAAAGTCCCCCTTTCAGCGCGCAGGCAGCAGGAGCGGGGGCTAATTGCGAGGAGAACAAATAGGAAAGTAATTAGGAAAATGCAAAAATGTGTTTACTTGGCAACGGAGATGAACAGAACAGCGCAGCCCCTGCTTGTTTGATAAACTTTGCAAGGCGGGCCTGCAAGAGGGCGATCAAAATCAAACTCCTGCCAGCGGGCTCCGTCCAAGCGCTGCGCTTTGGCGCCGGGCCTTCCGTTCGGCCGCTTCCGTTGGCCGGAGCCATTCCTGGAGGCGTGCAGAGGCCTCGGTCTGGAGCCGCAGCCCTTCCGTGGCTTTCGACACGTGTCCTCGCAGCTTGGCAACTGGGGACGGAGGTGCTCAGGTGAACCCTTCGTGTGCAACGGCTGTGCACCTACCAGTACACCTGCCCAGCACCTGCCGAGAGCGCCCACCCCCTCCCCGACTTGGTCAGAATGATTGATTCTTGGGTCGTGTCCTCTCCAGCCAAGTGAAGTTTTGGACTTCAGGTGTTGTCGGTCCACCTGGTAAGGCCGACAGTCGGGTATACTAGGGACTGTCACCCAAAATATCTGGGGGACACCAGGTTGGGAAAGGTTGTGTCATCTGGAGCATACTGTTTCTTATAACCTAGCTTTCCCTCTCCATTCCCCTATTGCAAGGACCCCAAGATGGCTCACATAGCCCTCGGCCACAGTTTTAGCCTCACCACAACCCTGGTTAGGCCAAGGCCACATTTCACGGATGAAAACTAGAACCCAAATCCTGTGGGCCCCCCATCAGCACTCCAACCTTCACACCACACGGCCTTTAGTACTTACCTTCTCTCCCAGGGAACTCAGGTGGATGGATGCGGAGTCCCCAGTGGGAGTGTATCCAGGTGAGACATAAATGATAAAACCTGTCTTTCCTCCATCACAGGATTTTACAGGGGCCCAGGTGCTGTTACCTGCCATTTGAAGCCCCCACCCCCACCCCAGTTGCCATCGCTGTTTCCCTTCCCACCAAACTATGGTAAGGAGGGAAACCCAAAATAAGTGTCCATTGGTGGTGGCAGTGAGCACAATCCGTCCAGAAGCACATGGAGTGGGTGGGGGCAGGGGCAACCGAAGAACTGGGCTTGTTTCTGGATACCTGCAAACCCATCGCTGAAAGAAGAGAGCACCCAGGAAATGAGTACTTCAATTCCGCTGCCTTTCCCAGAGGTGTTTATCTGATGAAGCGGATGAAGCAGTCCTCGAAACTGCCAGTGACGGGATTTTGTTGTCTATATTTTAAAATGCAACGTTTACATCGTTAAATGTTTTCTGCCATGCCAATAACTTGGCATTTCTCATTTTGTAACACATTTGTTTGATGATGCATTTGAAAGAGAAAGAGAATAGGAAACAGGAAACAGAGTAGGAAAGAGGGAGTGGGAAACAGCCACGAGAATAGAGGAAATGCATTTTGCACCACATGCACAAAGCACAGGAATTTTAAAGGCCTGGCTGTATGGAGAGGCTCTCTAAAGCTGGGGTGGGGGATCTACGGCCCTTTGGATGTCCCTGGAATGCTATCCCATTAGTTTTAGTCAAATAGTAATGGTGGAGGATGATGGGAGTTGGCTGCCCCACAATATCTGGATGGTTAGATGCTCCCCATCCCAATCCTAAGACCACAGTTTCCACTCCAAGCAGCTCGGGATGCTGGGGTGCCCTTCTCTTTGGGTGGCCTTAGGGGCCGAACTGTGTCTGAAGCAGACGGCTGCTTTGGGTATCAACTTCCATCAGCCCTGGCCAACGTGGACCATGGTCAATGTTCAATGCTGGGAGTTACAGTCTGACACATCGGGGGAGCACCAGGTCGGAAAAAGCTGCTCTGACAGATGCAGGATATCAAACCACAGGGAAGGCCGAGCTCCACTGTCTTTGCTCCTCCCTGTAAAATGAGGCTTTGCCCCGGAGTACATGGTGCCTGCCCAGGTGCTTTCCTCATTCCACTGCACCGCCTGGCAAGAAAATGTGTCTTGTGACAGCACGAGGACACACGACAAGCAAGGCAACCTGTTGCACAAAGACGAGGAGGGCCGGTACTGAGAGCTGCGGCAGCCCCTTGCCCTGCCACGCTCAAGCTTCCGTTTTCGGCACACCGAGCCCAAAGTAACTCGGGACCGACACGTTTTGCAGTGTGCCTCCCCTGAGCCGAGCCGAGCCGAGCCGACCCCCAAGATCTTTTGAGGAGGGCTGCTGGCTGTTAGATGACACCACGTAACATCTTGGAAGTTGGAGGCTCCCAACTTTTTCCTGTCTAAACATACATAGCATTCTGTCCTTTCTGGTTTTATTTATTAGATTTATATCCCGCCTCCCCCACCCTTTTTTTAAGGCACTCAAAGCCAATTTTATCATTCTCCTCCTCCTGCTCTCAATCTTATCCGCACAACAACCACCCTGCAAGGTAGGTTGGGCTGAGAGTCTGGGACGGCCCAAAGTGAGCAGGGACTAGAACAATCTGAGTCCCAGCCCTGCGCTCTTGACCACTATATAGGGCCACACTGGCTCTCACACTGGCATTCATTCAGCAGGACTGTTAAAAAGACTGCTGGATTCTCTTTGGAATCTGGAAAACATCTCATTGTCCCAATTACTATCTATGAAGCCCAGCTAATTTACCCATCTTTGCTGTGTGAAAAACCTTCAAAAAGCTAGAAAAACACACACCATCTTCCCCATTTTAACCATGCATGTCAAACACTTCCTAACATACAATGCATAACCACATAAATGACAGAGGTTAACTTGGATGGAAATAATTTTAAACAAGAACTACACAAACCATGTTTTGCACTAGTTGGACATGTGTCATTTTCCTGAGTGTGCAAATGAACACAATACACAGAAATGTAGGTTCCCGCACCCTTTCGGCACAGACGTGTCTTCTAGAACAGATGTTCATCTCATGAGATGGAACTCCCAAACTTTTCGTATTTGGGCAAAATGTTGATGGCCATTTGAAGACGGTTGGGCTGACAAGAGACTGGGCATGTTTTTCAACTTTGCTCAGCTCAGTTCTTACATTATTATTAAGAAATAAGCTTCTAATTCAACTTCCTTACAGTAAGAAAAGGATTCTAGAAAGCAGAATGAAAATTAGCAGAGTCACTCATTTATTTGATGTGTTTCTGTGAGTTTTCACAGCAGCTAACCAAATTTAAAAATAAAACACAATATGCAAAAAAGCAAGTATAAAAAATAAAAGTGACAGAAGAGGTAAAAAGAAATGGCTGGCATATAACAAGATAAACCGCTACACCTTAAAAAGCTTGGAACAGGAAAAGGAGTTTCTGAAACCTTCAGCTAGCCAAAGGGTTGTGTCAAACGGCAGCTGTGGACTGTTGTCCTACAGGAAGTGTTGTTTGTTGTTTAGTCACAAAGTTGTGTCCGACCCAACACGACCCCATGGACAACATTCCTCCAGGCTCTCCTGTCCTCCACCATCCCTCGGAGTCCACCCAACCCCACACCCACTGCCCCAGTGACCTCATCCTGCCCCCTCATCCTCTGCCGTCCCCTTCTTCTCTTGCTTTCAATCCTTCCCAGCATCAGGCTCTTCTCCAGGGAGTCCTTCCTTCTCATTAGGTGGCCAAAGTATTTGATTTTCATCTCCACTATCTGGCCTTCTAAAGTGCAGTCAGGGTTGATCTCCTCTAGGACTGACCGGTTTGATCACCTTGCGGTCCAAGGGACTCACAGGAGTCTCCTCCAGCACCACAATTCAAAGGCCTCAATTCTTCGGTGCTCAGCCTTCCTTATGGTCCGGGGGGGGGGGGGTGCTGTGCCCCTTTCTAAAACAGGCCAAACACCTTCACCACCACCTGCCCCCATCTGTACAATGTACTCAAGCACCTGGAAAATTCCCAACTTTGTTTGATTCAATGGCTGTGTTGGGAAGTAATACACAGATATTTAAAAAACCTCCGTTTGTAAACTCCCCCCATTCCTTTTACTGCAGTGCAGAGGAAAGAAGAGTGGAAGATTTTGCTTCTATTTTCACATGGTTTCATGTTAGGTCCAGTCCCAGACAAATGTGGTCAAATTTTAGCTATGATTTAGATATGAAAACAAGCCAACTTCAAACTGGTTTACCATTCTGGCTTGTTACCCTGAAGTAAACTATATTTAAGATTAACCACAGTTCCAAATGTCGATGCAATAACAAACCAAGGTTTGGCTTATGGTTCAAGAGTAATATAGAGGTCTAAGGAATGCACAGCCCCAGAAATTTTTCATAATGCCATGGGCAATGGCCCAGTCCAGATTCAAATAAATTATTCCAGAGTTCTCTGAACTTGTAAATAGCTCATCTCCCTTACCACTGAATAACCACAGGAAGTCCCCCAACATACAGGATGGAGCGTGGACTTACAGGTGAGGTAGGCTACAGCAATTAGCCTCAAAGGTTGAACGGGCCTCTGCCATTCATGGGTTCAGGATGCACTGAGGCCTTGGTACCAGAACAGGAAGGCCATATTTCGGGCAGCCACAAGGAATTCCATCACTTACCTGTGCGCGGTGTGGAAAAGTGCTTCCTTCCGTCTGTCCTGAAACCCCTACCAATCCCAGGAGCGTTGGAGGCTGCTTCTGAGGCATGGCCCTGCCCATTTAGTTTAGCATTACTGACACGGACTGGCAGCCATGCCTCTCCCAGTTGAAGGCAAGATCCTTCCCAGCCCACCTGGAGATGATGCTGCAGATCAAAGCTGGGACCTTTGTCATGCAAGGCGGGTGCCCCCTCCCCAATCCCCTTCCCGGGATGCCTCCAGGGCTTGGGATTATGGGAGAGGAAGCCAAACAGCTAGACATTTCCTTCACCTCATGCAAAATTTTATATGCCTCCGTCATTTCGTTCCTTTCTTTTAGCATGTCTTCCTAACTGAAAGGCACCGGCGTAAGCAATGCGCACCAGCCTTCTGCATAAACATTGGATGCTCATTCTCACCATCTCCAGCACCATAGGATCTGCTGTTCCAGATCTGGGGGACACCAGGCTGGGGAACGCCACCCTATTCCTCCGCTCATTGCCCGCTATGAGATCATTTTCCCCGTCCTTTTCAGTCTGTTCCCCAAGAGGTTTTTCTTCACAGCTCATCTGGTTTCCCGTCGTGCCTGCAGCGCACAAAACCAAGCTATGCAAGCTGCTTATTTCCCCCCCTCTGCAGCCTTCTCAGCTCCCCAAGTTCTTTCTTCAGGTGCTTTACGGCTTTCAAAATATTGCGCCGCTGGGGATCGTCCTCAGCTTTCTCCACGTAAAGGAGGAAGTGTCTGATGCTTTCCGAGAGCAGTGTTTCCGGGTCTTCCCTTTGCGGGTGAAAGCGCAGCATCCTCTCACAGGCAATTGCGTAGTTCTTGTGCCAGTTCACGGGGTGCGCGGCATCTGTGCTTACGATTTCTTTGTACAGCTGTGAACGAGAACAAGCAGGGGAGAGCAGCTCTGGAGGGACGTCCAAAATACTTACAGAAAAACACCCCGAAGATCGTACGTTCTTAAGACGTTCCCTCATTTTCCTGCAATTTTAGCAAATACTTGCTATGTGTCCCACAGAATTCAGTGGGAGTTCAAGACAGGTGCGTATAACCAGGAGCCGACAGGTGTTTTTAGACTCCAGGTCCTGCCAGCATGGCCCATGTTTAGGAATGCCACGAGCTGACGTTCCCCTATCCAGGTATCTGCCTTCTGCCCATCCCAGGCAATATGGGATTGGGGCCTGCACCGTTTCAGGCTTACTGCTGAGGAAGCCTCTCAGACAATGAGAAGAATAATATGCATGTAGTGGAAAAATAAAATAAGGAAAATTAAAAAGCTTCCGTGATGTCAGAGGAAGAGTAGCAAGAAGAGGGATCCATAGACGAGGAGGAGGATGGAAAGGTGATAAGGAAAGAGAAGAAGGGTCAGCTTGGGAAGCAAACTGCGTTAGGAAAGGAGGAAATCTAGATCCAAAGGACAGATGGACAGAGGAGCACCTGGGGAAGAAAACTGAATGAAGGGAGAAATCAGGCGGCACAGAGGTGGAGAGCTGGGCTGAAGTTACGTATCTGTTCTGAAGCAAGACAGGGGTCTGTGCGGAATACAAAATGCAAAGGAGAAAAGGGCAGCCACTGGGAAGTGCTCCAGACCTCGTCCATCTGAGGCTCAGACCAGCGTTACTCTGCTCAAATCTGGGGGTTGGGAGGGGAGTCACACATGGGAGCCTGGGCAGGGCAGCTCTGTAGGCCCAGTATGGGCCAGGGGGTCTCGCTGTTGCTCGCAAGTTAGCCGTGAAGCGGGGTCCGACTCAGCAAGGGGAAAACTGCAGCAGGCAAGGCCTCGCTGCTCGGCCTCCTTCATTGTTTTACGGCATTACATGTCTCTATAGCATTTGAACTCCACATTTATTCCTGCACGGAACCCCAAATGCACCCAGAATGAAATGAATCCACGAACAAGGGCAGTCCATGGAACCCTCCGCCTCTCCGTTTGCAACAACCCTGCGAGGTAGGTCGTTTACCAGAAAGGCACCTGCCTGCTCTGGGACTGTGGCCTCCCCCCACCACACACCCACACGCCTGCCATGTGCTTGGAGTTGCCACTGCCAGCATTCCTGACCGTGGGCCATGATGGCTGGGGCTGATGGGAACTGAAGCCCCGCACATCTGGATGGCAGTACGTTGGAGAAAGTTCTTTCATGGCCTGCTGTTCCCCCAGCGGCCGAGGGGCAGCGAGGGCCACAGGCGACGTGCGTTGTCACTGGCCAGCCAAGTGGTGCGGCTTCCCAGCTCAGCAGCTGCCCCCCCCCCCCGCCCCCAGACAGTGAATCCAGCCACGGACGAAGGGTGCAGGAAGGGCACAGCCGAGCCGCAGGGAGGGGGAAATGGCCTACTTGGGGGTGGGAAGGGGTCCACACCCGAAGCGTCTTTCTGCACGGAAGGGCCGGAAGCAAAGCCAAGCTCGCTGCCATGTTTAGCGCACCGCTTGGAGGAACGGAGTCAAAGGAGAGGGTGGGAAGCCAAGGAGAAACTAACCCATGGAAGGGAGGGAGGGGTTTTTGCTTGATTTGGGGGTGCAAAAGAGCTCAGGCCCTGGGGCCAAAACAGGCCCGCCTAGGTTCCCCAGATGGACACCCCACCTTTCCCCAGTCATCCACCCTCCAGCACTTTTCCAGCTTCCATATAAGTTTTTCCCTATTCAAAAATTTGACCCATCTCTGGGCTTCGGTACTGGCAGAAAGAGCTTGAAGTTGCAAGATGCTGGAATTTGGGGCATTCCGGCACCACCCTTCCGCCTCCGGCCACAGCGCCTTTGCCTCTGGACCTGCCCACAACCAGAAACGGCCCCGAGGGATTCCCTGAGATGAAACTCAGCCCTGCGCTGGAAGATGCTCAGCACCCCTCTTTTAATCCAGAAGATAAGAGAGCCTACATTGTAAGCCAGTGTGTACAGCTGCGCCTTTTCCTCGGCAGGCACAGGAGCAGTTTCTGCGAGGTCGAAAATAAAGAAGGCCGTCTTCATCCTGGAGGAACAGAACAGAAGCGGGCTGCACATTACAGCCATGGCAAGAGTTTTTTGAGCACATCCATACCCATGCACGGCCGAGGAGCATTCGTCTTATTTATTTATTTAAAACATTTCTATGCCGCCCCATTCGCCGAAGCCTCGGGGCGGCTCACAACATAAAATTAAAATATAAAACATTCAAAAATACAACAAATTAACAATATAAAATAAGTCGCCCTGGCCAGATAAAATAAGCAAATAATATTAACAATTAAAATGACGTTTAAATAAAAAGGTCTTCGCCTGGCGCCGAAAAACAAATAACGACGGCGCCAAGTGGACCTCTCTGGGGAGCGCATTCCGTTAAGACTAAGGTAAGTATTACAGTTGCTTTCGTGCTTCCAGTGAGGCAATTCCACTAGCATTTCAGCTGGTTGGAGGAGGAGTACGATGCAGACTGCTCTTACTTCCAGGTGCACTGGACTACAGTTCCCAAACCTCCCAGCTAGCTGGGGAAGATGGGATACATCTGGAGAGCACCAGGGTTGGGGGAAGCTCCCTTGAAGGGCAAGGGCAAGATTTACCCAGGCACAGTCCCACCCCGCAGCAGGACACACGCCTCTGCTATTTTATCCATTCTACATCTGGACCCCTGACGGAAGCTGATTCCAGAAGTCTCCCCCCCGCAACCCCTAAAAAAGCCCTCTGCTTTGTCCTCAGCAGCTGAACCACTCCTGGTTGCAGGAGAGTGAGAAAGGCCCCCCTTGGTTACTTCAGAAAGCAGGCAGGCTGGTACGGGAACAGGCCTCCTTCAAGTAACGTGGGCCCGGAGGTCAACCTGGCTCTTCAAACTGGGTTCAGAAACATACAAGCAGCCAGCTCACTACGAGCCGATCACCCAGCCCCTCTGATGCTTGGATGGCCATTTTCTGCAGCAGCTGAAATTCCTGGACAAGCTTTGTCAGGTCTGCAACCACACAATAAAGATTGATTGATTGATCGATCGATTGATTGGCTGTCCCACACAGATTGCATGGCAGTACCCTCCATTCCAGCCAGCCCCGTATGAACAACCTTCCTCCGCATCAGCTCCAGCACCACAGAAACGCTGCAGCCCGTGGCCCGAGAGAGGAGAACTGCTTACACAGCGTGTGGAGAGCAATTCTGGCAAGCGCCCCGTGAACTCTGGGTGCGCTCACCAGGAGCTTGGACTCTGGGCTGCAACCCAGTGGCCGGGAGTCCACGGAGCCGAGTCCAGGGAATCCTTCCGGCCCCCGGTCCCTGTACGGAGCTGGTAAGAAATACTCCCAAGCCACAGTGTCCACCGGAACCCGACGGCGGTGACGAGGAGCGCTTTCCTCCAGCTTCGGCTAATCTATCAGCTGCATCCTTACCTGGAGGAGAACTGCCTGGCAACAGTGACACACACATTGGTAACTTCCCGCTTGGATTACCGTAACGCGCTCTACGTGGGGCTGCCCTTGAAGACAGTCTGGATACTTCACATGGTGCAAAATAGAGCTGCCAGGATGCTGTCGGGGACTGGGCATTATTCTCATATAACCCCAGTCCTCTACCAGCTTCACTGGCTTCCCATCGAAGACCGGGCTCAATTCAAGGTGCTGGTTATAAAGCCCTTAATGGCTTGGGACCTGGATACCTAAAGGAACGCCTTCTTCCGTATTTGCCCTCCCGTCCCCTGAGATCAGCAGTAGAGGCCCTCCTCCAGGAACCCTCCGTGAAAGACACTAGGAGGCAAAGTACCTGGAGGAGGGCTTTCTCTGCAGTGGTGCCCCGCCTATGGAATGCGCTCCCCAGAGAGGTCTGCCTGGTGCCGTCATTATATGCTTTTCGGCGCCAGGTCAAGACCTTTTTATTTGGCCAATATTTTAACTCAGTAATTTTAATTGTGAAATGACTTATTTAATTTATTTTAAATGATGCTCAGTGTGGAATAGTTAAATTATCTTATTTTATTGAAGTCTGAAATAATGTTGTAAGCTGTCCAGAGACGACAGTAATGGACAGCCTACATTTTTTAAAAAATAGATAAAATAAATAAATACCCGCCCCCCACCCTCCAGTTAGCATAGAGCTCAAGGACACATCCGGACCGCCCACACGCCCCCTTCAGGGGCAGCGCAATCCCATCGGAGAACGAATGTAACCCTCTGTCAAATGCTGGCATTTCAGGATACAAGGTGGGTGCTTCCCTTCAGTCCTTTGGGCAAGATCACATGGGAGTTTTTCTCACGGGGGGCTGGGGAGTTGCCTCCTTACCTGGACTGCCACATCTCTTCGTTTGCCACCGACTCCCATGAAGACGCATCGAACCTTAAAAGGAAAACAGACACTGTCGTGCCAGACGGGACCAAGGAAGTTGCAATGAGGTCAAGATGGCGGACGATCCAACAGGCTGGGGCAAAGTGTGCTCTTCCTGTTGCCCAGGGAGCGGAGCCCAGCGGCCCCAGAGCCTCATGGGAACAGCAGAGGACCAGAGGACTGCTTCCTCTTCGAACAATGGCCAATTCGTGGCTGGTCTGTGTCCCTCCTGCTCTTGCTGTTCTTGCAGCACCAATGGTGGGATGGGAAATGCGGAGGGCGGTTCCGTGCCCACAGTGGCTTGGAACGGAGCCATTCCAAGGCAGAGGGTTCCTCTTTGGCATGATTCCCCACTGTCCCACTGTCTGCAGGCAGGTGGGAGGAGTCCTCTATCCAAGGCTGTGATGTGGAGCGTTTCCCACAGCTTAATTTTTCCCATGAAAAATTTCCAACTGCAAAACTCGTGAGGAAGAGTGAACGTGAGCCAGTTGCAAATAAAGAATTAGGCAAGGCCGACGGTTTCAAAGCTCTAATTGATGCTTTCAGGTGTTGAACACTGGCATAGAGCGGGGCTACCAATGTGCTTTCATACTTTGGGGGAAGGAAGCTGACCGGAAAACTGGACTGGGTCCTGGATGGACTAGAACCGGGGCTGAGGTTCTGCACCTTCACCGCAAAGGCCATCAACTTTGTGAGGTGCCAGTGTGGTGCAGTGGTGAAGAGCATGGGACTGGGACTCGGAGGATCTGGGTTCAAGTCCCCGCTCAGCCACGGAGCCAACTGGGTGACTTTGGGCCAGTCACAGACTCTCAGCCCAGCCTACCTCACAGGGTTGTTGTTGTGGGGATAAGCTGGAGGAGGAGAAGGATGTAAGCTGCCTTGAGCCCTTTGTAGGAAAAAGGCAGGATATAAATCGAAAAATAAATAAATAAAATAAATAAACTTGGGCTGAGTTTGGGCAAGAACTGCTCACCCTGCCCAGCCAGCAAGTGAGGAGACAGAGTTGTCCTTGTTTATACCCTGTTTTTTTTTTTTTTTAATTTCCCTTTCACCCAAGCTGGCAGCCAATGCAGCTCACTTCCATTACAATCCACTACAAAACACAGCATCATCATCATCATCATCATCACATTTCTATGCCGCCCCTTGTGCAATGCTTACGGTGCTGGACTGCGGGCCCAGGAGATCTGGTCCCCACTGGCAACTCACATACTCTCAGCCTAACCTTCCTCGCAGGGTTGTTGTGAGCATAAAATAGAATGGAAGAAAACCAATTCGCTCAATACTGGAAAAGTGAGAAACTATCCACCGATGAACTGATTCTAAAAAAGATCCTGGACTGTGCAGAAAAGGATAGATTGACTTTATCATTGAAGGAGAAAGAAGATACTGACTTCTATCAAACTTGGAATCTTTTTATCACTGGCTAGAGAAACGGGACTTCGCATAGACTTAAATATGTTTTTAAGTTATCATAAATGGAAAAAGAAGGGTGTGGGGGCTGACCCAGCGGGCTCGATGTTTTTGATGATGGATGTTGTTTGTAGTTTTCTTTTTGTTTTTTAGGATTATAATTTCAAATAAAACTTATTTAAAAAAAAAAGAATGCAAGAAAACTTGGAAGCTACCTTGGGTTCCTCGCAAGAGGAAAAGAAAGGAGGTATCAATGCAATTTAATAACAGTAGCAGTATCCTAGGGAGATGTGTTAGGCAGGCGGTACCTCTGAAGGGGCTGGAGATTAGCTCCCACAGAGACGGGAGAGAGCAGGAGTGCAGAGGTTTGCGGGAGATGCTCCACGGGGAGCAGTCCTTCGTTGAAGGGAAGGGTCTGTGAGCACAGCAGAGGGGCCACCATTTCTGTGGCCAGCTGCTTGGCTCAGGAAGCAGGACCCAAAGGAGGGAGAAGAGCTGCAGCTTAGTGGCAGAGCTGAGAATTCATCCTGGGGAGCCCCTGCCGGTCAGTGCCTGCAACACTGGGCCGAAGGGTCAGGCTCCAGAGAAGGCAGATTCCTGCATTCCTGACTCTTATGGCCGGCCGGACAGCACAGCATCTGCACTGTCTTCCTTGCCCAGGGCTGACACGCTTTCACAACGGAAAGGACCACCCTTTCCCATATATACTGCTCGTTCTTTTTGATCTAGGGATGAGGTCACGCTGAAAGAGCCATCCCCAAAGGCAGCAAGACGGATGGTGAAGAGAAGGGCCTTCTCAGTGGCTGCCCCCATCTTCGGAATGGGCTTCCTAGAGAGGTCCGCCAGGCACCGGTACTACTTTCATTCTGGTGCCAGGCAAAGCTTGTCCTTTCCCGTGAAGATCTTGAGACCGGATTGTAATAACTGATTGTTTTCAGATATCATGCAGTACCAGCAGTTGCTTTTCTAAAAAAAACTTGCAGTTGTAATGTTATCTCCTGTACTTCATTGCCTAGGCAGCCCTGTTGTGTAATTCACCCACCTATAATTTTTTAAAATAATAAACAAACAGACGGGGTGTCCATCTGTATATGCCTACCCAGACCCTAAGGTCATCCACTGAGGTCCTTCTCTGCATGCTACCTTTAGAAAATGTAAAGAAGACGGCCCCAAGAAGAGGGGCCTTTCTGGCGGTGGCACCCCAATTGTAGAATCAGCTCCCCAGAAAGGTGCGCCTGGTGCCAAGTCTTTGTTTTGCAGCACCAGGCCTATTTTCCTGGTATTTCAAGCCTATTTCATAAAAGATAAACTTTTCTGTTATTTTATACTGCTGTTGGATCACCTGGATTGTCTATTTTTGTTTAGCTATTTATGTACTTTAATTGTATTGTTTCACTATGTTGGGTTTTCTGTTTAATCTTTTAAACCGTTCAGAGAACTGCTACCTAAGCAGATGGTATATAAATGTTTTAAATACATAAACAAAGTAAACTCTCACCTCCCATATTCGTCACTCCAGTTATAGAGATTCCTGGTTCTGTGAGCCCACTCTCTGGGGTCGAAGGGGACCTTGGAAGGCACAAGCTTGTCACACGAGCCCCACGGCCAAAGGGAATACTCTTCCTTCCAGGTGGCGTCACCTTCATGCAGCCCGATGCAAGCAAAGGTTTCCTTGCTGCAGCAAACCACGACACAAATCAGGACATGCATCAGACTGGGGCAGCTGGAGCTGTCCAGCCAAACTGCTTCCTGCAGACACCAAAAGATGGAGCAGCGCTGGCGTCTGAGCTTAGCAGCAGGAGATAACCGTGTGGTCCACTAAACTAGAGTCGTCTCCAACCTGGTGCCCTCTAGATGTTTTGGACTTCAACCTCCATCAGCCCCAGCCAATACGGCCTTATTCATCCTCCTCTGATTATTGTAACTAAAATGTCTTACTTTTCTCAAAAAAAGTGTTCTATAACAGGACACAAGGTAGATGTTTACATATTTTGTGCAATATACTGAAATGATTTAAAACAGTTAAATGATTAAAAGTAAAGTAAGAAGAAATTGACATTAAATACTCCATCATGCGCCGTCCAATACCTGGAAGCACAGGCTGAACCTGAGGGGAGCCGTTGGCAACATCGCTGCCAGGTGGACTTGCCTAGGAGAGTCTCTTGCAATCTCGAGCGGGACAGGGGTCCCCACCGAAAAGGCCCTCTTCCTTGCTGCTGTCCCCTGAGGCTTCCAAGAAGGAAGCCTTGCCAGAAGGAGAGTAGCATATAGAAACACAGGCACAGTCCAAAGGGACCTCCTGGGCCATCTAGTCTGACCCCCGGCTCCACTTACAGGGGTTCTGTACCAGGTGAAACGCTCTACCAATGGTCGGCAGTTCTGGGAATTGAAGCCCAGAAGTGCATGTGGCGTGCACCAGGCTAGAGAAAGCGGGACTCCAGTTTGGAACGATGCTATTTCCAAGCGTCCTGTGTGTGATGCTCCAAAGCCCAGATTCCTGCACAGCTGGAACAGCCAACGCAATTATGGATAGCCACCCGTTGCTCTCCTGCAGCTCCAGGAGCAGATGGGAAACCAGCCATGAATCCCCTCAAAGCTGCCCCAAGTTCCCCGCAGACGGTCAGGATAACGAAGCCACTAATTGTCGAAGTGTTCTCAGCCACAGAGGTGCCCATGTGCCAAGGCTGTCCTTTGGCCGGCAAAGCCGGACTAAACATCCAGGCCCAGACAGGAGAAGAGTGCCCTCCATGAGAGACATCAGGAGGCAGAGTACCCTGAGGAGGGCTTTCTCTGCGGTGGCGCCCCATCTGTGGAATGCACTCCCAGAGAGGTCCGCCTGGCGCCGTTGTTATTTGTTTTTCGGCGCCAGGCCAAGACCTTTTGATTTGAAAAATATTTTAACGACGCTTAATATCTATAGGTTTTAATTGTGCAGCCAGGGTGTTTCTGGATTTTAATTGTACTTTGTGTCATGTTTGTTTATTTATGCGAGCCATCCCGAGGCTATAAGCGATGGGATGGCATACGAAAAATCTAAATCAATAACAAACAAACGAACAAATGAACAAGAGTCCTGCTAGCTCAGCCCAAGTGCTCCGCACACACGGTGGCCAACCCCAAACGGGACCCGAGGGCAACGGTGCCCTCCCGGCCAGGTGCCTCAAACGCAGGGCACCACAGTGGCCGTGGCAGCCAGCTCCCACAGGGCTGTGTCCCACCTCCTTCACGTCCTGCCACTCGGAGGCTGGCGCTGCGAATTCCATAGTTTAACTCTGCTGTATGTGAAGAAGGCCTTCCCTTTATCGGTCCGAAATCTCCCACCCAGCAGCCTCACGGGGCAAACGACCCCTCTGGGTTCTATGTTATGGGGAAGGGAGAAAGCTATCTCCTTCTCCCCACCAGGCATACACCTGTACATACCTGCTGCACACCTTTACCTGTATCCCCACATGCCCCTTTTTTCTAAGCTATTTGTTTATTTCTTTAGGATGTTTGTATGCCGTCCCATCGCATAGCCTTGGGGCGGCTTACATAAAATAAACAAACACAATACAAATAATACAAATAAAATCCAGATCCACCCTGGCTGCAAATTAAAACCTACAGATGATATTAAAAGTTGTTAAAATAGTGTTTAAAGAAAAGGATCTTCGCCTGCTCAGCTGCTTTAAGCTTCCCTCTGACGGGAGGTGGCCCAGCCCCTCGACGGTTCTTGCTGCCCTTCCCCGCTCTCTGCAAGTCTACAATATGCTTTCTTAGGAGGAGCAACCACACTCACACACAATACACTCAACACAATCGCACCGTAGAGTTGCAGGATGGCAACGCTGTTATGCAAAAACTGGTCCTTACTGTTTATTTACTTTGAGAAAACGGCGAAGATTAAATGTGATCGTTCCATCAACTAACAGTGCTTCCACGGGATTCCAGCGGTTCCCAGGAAAGGTGACTCCCGGCAAATGTTTAGCCAACTTCGGTAAATACCAAGGGTAAGTCATCATCTAGCGGAGAGGAGACAAGTGGCATGCAACCACGGAAATATCAGTGGAAATAAGAAATACATGACTATTACTTAATCCATTTAGATACTGATTGCTGTATCTGACGTCATGTCCGAGGGATCAACCGAAGCAGAAAGTGAAACGAAGCATAATCATCCAAAAGTTAAAATGTTTAAAGGCACAGACCTGTGCATGTTTAGAGAGAAAGAACTACAATTCCCAGCATGCCCCAGCCCTAAACAGCCTTTCCTCTATCTAAACATGCAGAGCATTATGTTTTAATGCATTTAAAACCAAAACTAAAAGCACAATAGTCTATATTTCCCCATCCTGTGTGATAAATGCAAGTACATAAATACATAGAACCTGAGAGTAATGCCACCTTCCTATGCATACTTACCTGGAAGTAAGCCCCACTGAACACTGTAGAACTTACTTCCAAGTAAACCAGGAAGGCCTCAGCAGTTACAGGCAGCCTATATGTAAGTGTGTGTGTGTATGTATGTACAGATGGATGGATGGATGTGTAGAATTCTTGGGGTACAGGACATGCTATTATTTCCTATTAATGAGCTCTTATTTTTGGTGTTGTTTTTTTATTTGATGAGTTTTTAGTTGATGAGCTGCACTCTTTTAATTAAAACGGTGGGGTTTTTTTCTTAATGTTATTCCTTGATGTCTTCAGTTGCATTTTCACAGAAAAGTGAGATGTAAATATAATAAAAAAATAATCACCCAAACAAACCTACTTCTTGATCAACTAAGGTAAGGTCAGGCCTTATTCCCTCACAGTAATGAAGATAACGAAGGGAATTCCCAGGCAAATCTCCCCTTAGCAAGACAATGGCGTTTGCAGGCATGGAGGACAAAAGGTTCTGGGCAAACCGGTGCACGACGTCATTGTGGCTTTGGTCACAGACACTGCACAAGAAGAGAGAAATAATTCAGAAATAATGCAATGGATCCTTGCAGATCAGCTGTGCTTCCGGCAGCCTTTCCCAGGTGGCTCAGTGGGATAAGCAGCATCTCTGGAAGCGGAAATCTTGCACAGGGCCAGGGACTGCCAAACAACTTCACGGGAAGGACAAGCCAGCAGGTGGCTTAGTGTGGTGAAGCAGGCAAAAAGCGTTCAGCTTGAGCTGAACACCCTCCAAGCTTCACAACCCTCTTCAGCCAGAAAGGACCTGGGAAGTCGCCACAGTCGGGGAGCACTGGGTGTTGCAGTCTGACACATTTTGAAAGCAACGGGGCAGGGCTGCATTGATGAATGCGGCCTTGCTTGTTCCTGTAGCCAAACGTTGTTCTCCGTAGCCAAAGGAATTACCGGCCTCCCCAGGGATGCCAGCTCATTTCCAGCCTACTGGTTTGGCACAAGTTCATTTGTGAGTCCACTGGTGAGTTTACTGCATCCTTTTTTTAATGCACAAAAATTTACACTCCAATGGGACACATTTTCCCCTAAATTGTGCATCTTGATCTGCATGTCCCCATTCTATATACCGGACTCCAAAATGCACATTTTTGAGCATCCTTTTTGAGCTGGAAATGGCATCACAACATAAGGGAGAGTGTGTTGCCTAAAGGATAGCTTCATGCATTAGTCCATAAAGGGGACATGAGTTTTGTTTGTGTAGAATGAAGTCCAGTGGGGTTGGCTAGAACCCCCAAATTTGGAGAATCGTGAGCATCAGAGAGAACATTTTGGAGGACTTTCATTCATAGGATCACCGTAAGTCCAAGTTGACTTGACTTGACAGCAACACCAAATGGGCACCTTATGCAGGTCAGAAGGTGCATGGAGGCAAAGGCAGCTTTGGAGAAGGAGACAAGGAGGCTAAGGTGCCACCAGTAAATTTGTGTCTTAGCAGCACCTGTCTCTGGCCCTCGCTGGACTCCTCCAACATCCACAAAAGCCCTTCCCCAAAATTGGTCTTATGGCTTCAATGAAATGGCTGGCACACCCTGAATCCGTGCCAGCACTTAAAGGGGGAGAGAGAGTCCAGACCTTGCTACGAGGCTGAAGCAATTTTGCAAGCCATTTCAACTACTGCCTGGAGGAGGAGGCCATTCAAAATGCAAATGAGACCAAACTCGCTGTCATCCCTAAGCTACCACGAAGAGAAGGCCATCGGTGGGTTCGTGGAATTCACAAGGCTTGTAGAAGCACAAAAAAAGATTTGGGGGAAAACCAAACTGTGTCTGTCGACTTCTGTTCATTAAAAAAGGCATAAGCAAAAAAACACTCTTCTAAACTGTCCACAGATGTGTGTTGCTCAATGCTTCCATGTGTACAAAAACGCATATATTATGTAGAAGAGTCCCAAAAATTCATCTGTGTTTTTGACTGGGGCACTAGAAGAGAAACACCAAGCAGTGGAAAACTGGGAACATGAATGGGATCACATGGGAGGGGCTTGCCCATCCCAGGAATAAAACCCTCGCTTGCCACCATCCTTCTGTTAATTACCTGTAATTAGAGTACATTTGCGCTGTGACGAGGAGGGCAGCAAAAAGCCACGCCAGGCCGCCCAGCAGCCGTCTGCTTTTGAAGAAAGCCTCTCCAAGGACTTGAAGTGAGGAGAAGCCCAGGCCAGCGAGCACAGCGAGCACAGCATTGCTCTGCATCCAAAAGCGCTCGACCTGCAGAGGGGAAAACATGCAGCGTTTCCTTCCACCGGCAGGACCAACTGCTTACCACACCGGTGATCATGGCCGCACTGGCGTGTGGGTCCAGCTTGGATGCTTATAGATCCGGGCAATGGTTTACATAGAAACAGAGAAGCAGAGTGAGTCAGAAGGGGCCTCCCGGGCCATCTAGTCTGACCCCCGGCTCCAACCGGCTCCGCTCACGACATGCCCACCATGTGCACGTCCAGCCTATCCTTGAACACCCGCACCAATGGGGCCTCAGCCACCTCCCGAGGAAGCCCATTCCACACCCTCGGGGTCCTAACCATCAGGAAGTACTTCCTGGCATCCAAATTGAACCTTGGCTCCCTGAGCTTTGCTCTGTTGGAGCGCGTCCTGCCTTCCTCTGCAGGGGAGAACAGGTCTCTACCCATCTCCATGTGACATCCCCTCACATACCTGTATGTCGCCAACAGATCCCCTCTGGGTCTCCTCTTCAGGCTGAAGAGACCCAGTTCCCTCAGTCTCGCCTCATACGGCATCCCCTGCAATCCGACCACCAACCCTGTGGCCCTGCGCTGCACTGACTCCAACCTGGCTGTATCCTTTCTGTAATGAGGGGCCCAAACTGAGCACAGTTTCATTCTTGTCAACTGTAACGGTAAAAGGATAGTTCTAAGAGAAGCCGCCGACGGCTCTTGCTTACACACAGAGGCTGCCGTTGGAAGCAGGTGCCATCTTAGAAACAGAGAAACAGAGTGAGTCAGAAGGGGCCTCCTGGGCCATCTAGTCTGACCTCCAGCACCAGCCGGCTCCGCTCAGGACATGCCCACCATGTGCACGTCCAGCCTATCCTTGAACACCCACACCAATGGGGCCTCAACCACCTCCCGCAGAAGCCCATCCCACACCCTCGGGGTCCTGACTGTCAGGAAGTGCTTCCTGGCATCCAAGTGGAACTGATTTCTCGATTTGGAGAAAGCCAGTGGCAGATGAGCTGCTTTGCGAGCCAAAGGTTTGAGCCTGGTTTGCTTTCTCGGCTTAATGCAGAGCTGAAGAGCCTTTATTCCAGCCCGAGGGCCAAGTGAGTTCCAGGCCAGCATGTCAGGGGCCGTGCATGCTCCTCTCTGGCCCCTCCTCAGCTGCAATTAAACTTTGCTAAAGTCTCACTGCACCCAAAGAGGGGTGCTTTTTGAGGGGATGTGCAGAGTGAGGGAGGGGAGGACCCGTGCACCCCTATATCCTCACACACAAAAATTAGATTTCAATAAACGCTCTCATTGGCACCAATATATTATATTCCATTTATTGTGATTATATTGCAATGTAATAATGGATATAATTATATTAATGCAGTCTGAACAGGGTAAAAGAAAACTGCCTTGTTTCTGATACACAGTACCAGGCCAGGGGTCCCCAGCCTGAGGGAGTCTGCAACAGCCCCAAATATGAATCTGAAACAGGGTTCTGTTTTCTAAATATATATGTATTTCTTCTCATAAATCCTAAGGTTTAGCTGAAAAGAAACATCTCCCTTAACAAGGTGGAGCTAGTAAGAATGTAAGTACATGAAAAAGCCCTGCTGGATTCAACCAAAGGTCCGTCCCGTCCAGCACTCTGTACACACGGAGGCAAACCGGCTGCCCAAAGGATCCCTCCAGCAGGATGGTGCGAGGCCTCCCAGCCCAAGCTCCTCAGCAACATTTCTATGTGGGCACGCCACCTCTAGGAAAGGAGGTGGCACATGGCCAGCAAGAACAGCAGCCACGGAGGGCCTCCTCTTCCATGGATCTAACGGCTTAGGACCTGGTTACCTGAAGGAGCGCCTCCTTCCATATGTGCCTGCCCTCCCCCTAAGATCTGGGGCAGAGGCCCTTCTCTGGGAGCCGTCCTTGAAGGAGATCAGGAGGGGGACTGCCCGGAGAAGGGCCTTCTCTGTGGTGGCACCCCGACTGTGGAACATGCTCCCCAGAGAGGTTCGCCTGGCGCCGTCCCTTTATTCTTCTCGGTGCCAGGCTAAAACCTTTTTATTTTCCCAATGGCTTAAGATTTGATTGTTTTAATAGGGGTTCTTAGGATGCTGTTTTATTTTATTTTGTCTTATTGTTGAACCATCCCGAGACTATGATAAGGGATGGTCTAAAAAAAAGCAAGAGAGAGAGAGAGAGGTAGGTAGGTAGGTAGGTAGGTATGTCCAATTCCCCTTTGAAGCCATCCAGATTGGCAGCCATCCTCACTCCCCATGGCAGTAAATTCCGTAGTTCAAGACTGTGTGAAGACCGTCCTTTTCTCTGTCCTAAACCTCCCACCAACCAGCTTCATGTTGGAATGTCATGGGAGAAGGAGAAAACTGCCTGACCCTCCACTCCACTTTCTCCACTCCCTGCATTACTTTAAACACCTCCATCCTGACTCCACCTACTGCCTCTTTTCTAAGCTTGACAGTCCTCACAGGGGAGCTGTTTCAGCCCCGGATCCTTTTTGTTGCCCTTCTCTGCACCTTTTCCAACTCAACAGTGTCCCTTTTCAGGGCAGGTGACCGAAATGGCACTCAAGAGCAGCCACAAACGCAAACTCACCACTCCGCGAAACAAAGGCTTTGAGATATCCAGATTTGCTCTCCAAGCAAAGAATAACGAATACGCGAGCAGCATGGAAGTAAAGAGCCAGACCAAACGCGACTTCTCCGCCTTTGGCCTAGACAAACACAGGAGAGGAAAGGAGCCGCATTCACAGCGATTCATCCAAAAGGCACAGAGGCAAGCTGCACTTTCACTGAAAAACTGCAAGATATACAGGAAGCCCCATTCAGAGCACGATACGTAATTCAAGTCTACACTCGCAATCTCCCAAACTAAATCCCATTATTCTGCCGAAGACAGGATTCAATCCGAGCTGGAATTCTTACTGTGGGCTACAGGACCAGAGGTCTGGGATTAAGCATCCCTCAGACTAGCTCAGCCTCCAACCTGATTGCCTCCAGATGTGTTGGACTGAAACCTCCAATGGCCATGTGGGCTGAGAATCATGGGAGTTGTAGTTCAGCCCATCTGGAAGGCCTACAGGTATGGGATGGCCAGTCTAGCTATGTCTCCATATGTTCCTACCTGGCCCCTAAGAACCACCCCTCCTTCCTTCCTTCCTTCCTTCCTTCCTTCCTTCCTTCCATCCATCCATCCATCCATCCTTCCTTCAACTTATATTCTGCTATAACTAGTCTGAAGACTCTCTAAGCAGATTACAACCATTTTACATAACATCAAATTTTAAAACATGTTTAAAACATAAAAGCAACATACGATAAAACAGAGAATATGCCAGATAAAGACCCTTTTATCTGCCAGATATTTTAATAGATAGATGGATTTTCATATTGCTTTTAAGTGTACTGTTTTATGCCATGTGTTAATTTTAAACCTCCAGAGTTGTCACTTGCTGTGCATTTGGGTTTTTGAACTGTTATATAACGTTTTATTCTGGTTATACATTTTTATTCTGTAAATTACCCGGGTAGCCCCATGGACGATGGGGAAATACAGGAAAGTACCACACACACAGGAATGGGTTTGAGGAAAACCATTTTCTCGACCTGGTCAGCTTTCCTCAACCTTGGCGCTCGACATTCTCGACCAGATCATCAATCCTCTGGCGCTCCCAGCAGATGGGCATTGCAGTCCAACAGCTGGGGACACGGGCTTCAGGAAGGCGGAGCGGTAGGTTTATTCCACTATGCTCTCAGTGCAGCAGGTATGGTGACCTCTCTCCACCTGTTTTATTTATTTATTTATTTATTTATTTATTTATTTATTTATTTATTTATATCCTGCCTTTTCCTACAAAGGGCTCAAGGCAGCTTACATCCTTCTCCTCCTCCATTTTATTCCCACAACAACAACCCTGTGAGGTAGGTTGGGCTGAGAGTCTGTGACTGGCCCAAAGCCATCCAGTTGGCTCCATGGCCGAGCGGGGACTAGAACCCGGATCGTCTGAATCCCAGTCCCATGCTCTTAACCACTACGCCACACTGGCTCCCCACAACGATCCTGAGAGGCGGGCTAGGCCCAGAGCAGCTGGGCCAAGGTCACCCGGGGATTCTGCGGCTGACCAAGGATCTGCGCCCAGGTCTCCCAAGAGGCAACCCAACAGTCCCACAGCACAACATTAGCTCCTGGCCTACCTCCTGGGGCTGTTGTGATGAGAAATTCATGAGAACCACTTTGTTCTTGAGGAAACTTGGACGTTAACAGCACCTAACACAGAATGATGCTGCTTGCCACTTCCCAATCCATAAACCCAAAATAAGATGCTCTACCTCAGTGAGGAGCACAAGCAGGCCACGACCGCCAGGCCCGGGGTGATGGGGGTCAGTTCCACCTTCATGTGGGTCACCTGGAACCTGCACAGACACCAAAGTGTGAGGAATGGAGCAGGTAGCAAAAGCACGAGAGCGTTGGGCCGGGATCATCGGAGGACAGAGGAAAACAAAGCAGCCCGTTTGTGCAGCAGCTGTAAGCAGATGTTGCAACAGCTGGCCAGCTAATGCATTTTCACTTGTGCTCCTGATTCATTATCTTTCCACAATGCCCAGGAGCCAAAGCTCATGAGTCCATGAAGCATGGCTACGAAATCAGACACAACGTGGAAAGAGAGGGACGGAGCCCGATTCACACCACCGGCGAGGCTGAGCTGGAACGTCTAGGCTCAGAGCAGCCTCCAGGCGGCTCTGGTGGGACCCCCTCCCCACAGACAGGTGATCTGGCTCCCCCCCACGTTTTTCATCAGGCACTCCCATGGCTGGCTCTGAGAGCTGCTTCCCTTTACATCTAAATTTGTACCTTACAATGTGTCTCAGCAGCCACACGCAAATCAGTTGATTCCCAGTTTGTGTCATCCCCACATGCGTTCACCCTTAACTTAATCTTAAAACCTTACTCTGCAATGATCATTTTCGATCTGCGCAACAAGATCACCATAATTATCGTTACGTGCTAGTTCTATTTTTCCTTTTTTTCCTCTTGTGAGGAACCCAAGGAACTGTGGTTTACGTAGTCCACTTTTTCCCTCGCAACAACCCTGTGAGGTAGGTTGGGCTGAGAGTGAGGGGCTGGGCCAAAGTCACCCAGAGGGTCCTGCAGCTGAGTGGGGACTAGAACCCAGGTCTCTGACACCTAACCAGCACACCCTGTGGGCTCTCGATTTAAAGAAGTATTTTATTTTATTCTCAGAAAAGGCACTTCCAAACACATCCGCGTACTGCATTGGGCTGGGGAGCTGTCAGAACATCCAGAAAGGGCAAGAGCCAGTTCAGTTCTAGTCCGCGCCTTAGCACAAGAGCTGTGGATCGGGTCAGCGGCATCAGAACCAAAAGGGCTCCGTCTGTTCCATGGAGGGGGATTAAAACGGCGGTGGCTGAGCTGCCTGGCTCTTGCGGAAGCGATGCTGCCCCAGAGAATTCCCCCCATGCAGAGTGAGGCCCAATTCTCTATTCACTTAGCTAGAAGTAAATCCTCTTACAGGCAAATGGGATTACTTCTGAGTAAGACATGCCCAGGATTCCATAGTCAACCACACCATGTGCATTCACTTACAGTAATATATCACTCATACTGGATCCATTTTCTGATTTGGCCTGCACAGAAATTAAGAAAGTCATTATTATTTAAACTACATAGGTAACAGACACCAATGCCCATCTTGCATCAACTCAGGTATTATTATACTGTTTACTTATATTCTCCCTATTCCCAGAAATTGGGACTCTAGGTGGCTCATGACATCAAAATTCACATAATTAAAACATTCAAAAGTTTAAAACGTAATTAAGTTTAAGACATAATTAAATCAATTAAATTAAATCACAACCTAGATTAAAACATCACAAAAATATAAACAGCAACATCAGTCCAAACTCAAAGCCAATTGCCAAATGCCTGCTGGATTTTGGAAATGTAACAGGAAGGCACCAACCCAGCCTCCCTAGGAAGGGTGTTCCAGAGCCTTGGGGCAGCCACCAGGAAGGCCCCGTCCCACATGCCTGTAAGGGTGGTGGGGTCAAAAGAAAGGCCTTCCAGAAGACCTCAGAAACTACACAGGCTCATGGGGCGAAGAGGGTTTCTTCCCCCAGGTTGCAGCATGTTTTGCAGGATTTTATCCGGACATACTCGCCCACGTCTGAACGCACAAACAATTCCAGGCTATCTCACAGTGGCTTTGCTCAGTATATCACTGCCAAGGAAAGAAACTCTCCTCTTTGGGACCTTTTCCTCAGTGATAACATCCTACCAGAAAGCAACCTTTGCAGCATTACCCACAATCCTTCAGCACACATGCGTGTGACGCCAATACAAGCTGTCGCTGCAACACAATGTTGCAGCCTGGAACACTCCTGTTCAGGGTTCCAGCCAGCCACCTATCCCCCTTTCTAGAATGTTCCATGCCTCTTCTCCTTCCAGCTTTCCATTGCTGGAATGTCGCTCCCCATGCCAGCCACTGAATGTTCCATGCCACTGAACATGCTCCGTCCTCACTAGCCTATTCTTTTTTTTGTGGGGGGGCACTCTTAGGATTTCCCCCCTAACTCTTTCTTGGCATTTCTGAAAACCCTCGGGCTTCCCCAAACCAGCTAATACCTCCCTGTAGAGCACAGATAGTGCCGGTCTCTCACCTGGGAAGTAACCTACGAAAACAGGCGAAGGCCCATCCATCCGATGCAGCATTGACTGGCAGAAACCCCTCCTAGAAGGGCAATGAGCAGGGCGATTCTCTGCCCCCTCAGCAGCTCTAGAGGGGATTATTGGGAGACCCCCAGGGCAGCGTCTGAGCTGGGTATCTGCACTCAGAGCACCCTCGCAACCACCACGAAAAGACCTACTCCGGATCTGCTTCCCAGAGGCCAAGGAAGTTTAGGAGGTGTCCTAGGAAGTGTACAAGGGGGGAGACTGGTACCAAATCAGAGATTTCCTGAAGGCATCTCCGCTACCTTCCCTCCTCCTCCAAAGCGACAGCCAAAACCAGCCATGCAGCTACACCGAGGCAGCAAGAGCATGGAGCTGATCTTCCACTGGCCCCTCCTGCCTGCCACAGGACGTCTCCGATCATCCAAGTCGCTCGCATCCCCATCCAACTGTGCCTTCTGGCTCACGAAGAGGAATTAAATTATTAGGGTGCGACCAGAAGGAGAGATCCAACTGTTCACGAACCCTCGAAAGGGAGTGTGCAGGCATGCCATCTCCCTTTGCTAAAAGGGTTTTTTTTTCCTGGTATGAAAAAGAACGGACGTGGCGGGAAAGCAAGGGAGTCCTCTGAGCAGGCATTGCCCTCATCTGGACCACGTTCCAAATTCCATGAATGAGGCAGTGAACCTGCACGGGAAACACCTTCTCTGGCAGCTTGCCGTCCTTGCGCCGTGTTCCAGGCCCACCAAAAACTGCATAGAACTCATCCCGGCTGACACACAGGTGAGCCCAACTGGCTCCAGGTGGCAAAGCGGCACCCCTTCTGTGTCAGCTACACAGTCCTAATCAACAAGAATGACAAGAGGGCAAAAGGCTTGCTTGAAGCCCTTCTGGAAACAATCCCGCTTGGGTGCGATTTGATAGGATCACGGACAGGGTCACACACCAGAATGCATGTCATGAGCTGGCTGGAGCTGGGGGTCAGACTAGATGGCCCAGGAGGTCCCTTCTGACTCGCTCTGTTTCTATGTTTCTGTGTTCAGATGGCTCAGGCTGCACGTCCGGAGCTTCTATGTGTGTGCCTGAAACACGCACACGAACCAGACTGCACCCCAGATCACAAGAGTGCGACACTCCTCCGATCACTCATTTGCCCCTCTGGAACAAAACAAGCCTGAGGCTGAAGGACTCAAGGAAGATTAAACGATTTCTTGGCCTACTAAACTGTTTCACAAGCAAGGCATTTTATTGTCGAACTGCTACAGACAAATACAAAATGGCAACCATTTCACACCCTGCTGGCCTCCAGGAGATCACCCACCACATGTAAAAGACCCTCTTCCATGCAAGATTTATATGCAAGAGAAGCTTTGTTCTAAAGGGGTGGGTTATTTACCAGACTGAATGTTCCGTACTCTTCCCTGAGAAGATGGGTCATGAATCCTTTCAGGGTAGTCTGGTCTCCCCAAGTCCAGCACGCTTTGTTGAGGTAGGAAGAAGCTGGCAAGTAGAGATACGGCAGGCAACCAGCCAAAAAGCAGAAACTCAACTTCAGCATGTAACCGAGGGTCAATTCCTACACCAAAACATGTCACATTGCACAACCAAGATTATTTCAGAGGAATCGTGTGGCAACTTGAAGGACGGACATCAAGGGATGCTGCAGAAGATGGGGGGAGAGGATGGGAAAATGCATACATCCCGACACACAGAGCTGAGCTCTCAATTTGCACTTTAAGTCCCTGCGAAACGCGCCGTTAAAAAAACGGCACGATTTCCATGGATTACTTGGGGAAGACGACATTGCTCTGATCTCTTTTGCATGGCAGGGTGAAATTTTTTTTAAAGTGAAGCAAATATTATTAGAAGTTCCCAAGGATCACGTTGGTGGCATCATTTGCCGTTGAGACGGTGCCATGACAGGCCCGGGTGGCATGAAGGCGATAAACCACTTTGCAATGATTACGTGTCAGCTGGTACTCCATCAACCCCACCTCTATAATTAAATTAAAACATTTGTATTTTAAGGGCTTGTTTTTAACATGCCGTTCATCAACATTTCTATTTATCTTCACTGCTTTGGTGGCCGTTTTGCCCCATCTGGACAGAAGGGCTCTTTAGGAATTGGGCTCTTTTATCTACGCATAAAAGGCAGTATGTGTCAGTATGCGGAGCTGGGCTGAAAGCTGCTCATCTCCTGAGGCCTGTAACCCTCACTGCAGCAACAGTAGGACAGGATGTGAAGGATTCTGACATTTTTTAAAAAGTTAGAGACACGGATGGAGGCAGACAGGCCCCTGACATCACCTTCAAGTTTCGAAACAGTGAAGAAAAGGGGAAAACAGAACGCTGAACTTCGCTTGGAAGCATCGGGCTGATGGAAAGAGAAAGATGGAATAGAGCAGCTCCACATTCTGAGCTCACGGATTCATTCTTACCATAATCCCCCAGACAACTCCCCGCATTCTGAATCCTTGTGCACGCAGGCTGCAGGGAGCCGAATTCGAAACGTCTGGAAGGCAGCTGGTTGGAGATGGCTGCTCCAGAGGGGCCAGCGAAACAGGACTCCTGGCAATCCTCACAGGCTCAAGGGATGCAGGGACTAAAAAGGCTCTTTGACCCAGACTTCTGCATGGGCTCCTCGGTCACGCGCCCTCCTTCCCGGATCCCCACTAGCAAAACCGGAGTTGTGGGCGCCTTGCTAAGCAGGCCGTTGTGAAAGCAGCCACAAAGACAGAAGAACACAGAGCGTGCTACGCCCAGGATCAGAATGGCCAACACAGAGCGCCAAACTGGAATGCCGGCATGCGGCAGAAGAACCGCAGCAGCAGGACAGAACTTCCTTTGTCCTCAGCTCCGCTCGGCACTGCTGTTTGCCCTCTGAATTTGCTCCCCGGGTGCCTCTCCACTGAACGTTGGGTGGAGTCCAAAGCGCCATAGCTCCATTTTCTGGCACTCCCTGCCTCTGACAGTCAGGTGGACGTCAGCACAGTGTCGCTTCCAACACGTGGGGAACGTGCATTTATTTCAGGAACCTTTCCTTGGTTGCCCCGCCATGTTTTCTTTAAACCTGACATTCTGTTTAATACTACAGCTTATTCTGTTTTGTCTTTTTATTTGCACTGCTCCAGGACCTTTTAGATGCAAAAAGGTATATGGCTAACTTTAGAACAAGTAAATAAATGAGGAGCACAGCCATTTCAGTGGCTCCCGCTGCTGTCGCTGGCTTAGCTACTCAAAGTCCATGAAGTAAAGAGATTATCGCGGGGAGGGGGGCCAGGAAGCCTCAATTCCCAGCTCTGAGGCAGCACTTTGCATTTCAGCCCCCTCCCTTATCCTCACAGCTCAAATCGCCCTAGCCGCCTCTCTGAGGTTGGGAAGTCGACCTCAGAGAGAATGCATAGGAATGGATGTGCTGTACTTTTGTTTTAATCACTTTAAATATTTCTAAACTTTCCTCTCCACATATGAGTTAGCAATGGAGACCGGTTGCTCCAATGTATCCACTATCCACTCTGGGTTTTAGTCTCAACTTGTAAGGAGCTATCCATGGCGCTCGACCTCACCCCCACTCCAAGCCTCAGACCAGGTTCAGCAAGAGGAGACTCAGAGGGGACCTGTTGGCGACATGCAGGTACGTGAGGGGGCATCACACGGAGGTGGGGAGAGACCTGTTCTCCCCTGCAGAGGAAGGCAGGACGCGCTCCAATGGAGCAAAGCTCCGGGAGCCAAGGTTCCACTTGGATGCCAGGAAGCACTTCCTGACAGTCAGGACCCCGAGCGTATGGAATGGGCTTCCACGAGAGGTCGTTGAGGCCCCATCGGTGCGGGTGTTCAAGGATAGGCTGGACGTGCACATGGTGGGCATGTCATGAGCGGAGCCGGCTGGAGCCGGGGGTCAGACTAGATGGCCCGGGAGACCCCTTCTGACTCGCTCTGTTTCTATGTTTCTAAGTGCGCACTTGTGGGTCAGGTCTGTGAGTACTGGCAACATCTAAAATAGGTAGAGAACTCAACAGAATCCATAGAAAGTGGTGTTGTCTTTTGTTCTCCACTTGGGGAGAGGAACTGATGACTTTAAGGCCATTAGGGGACTTCAGAGGTTCTATCCTGCCCTTTCCCGGAATGAGCGGAGACACAGATCAGGGGACCACGAGCTCCCTTGGGCTCTCTGCATTCTCATGTCCTCCTTGTGAAAGTGAAGTGCTTTGGCTGGATAAGGTCCCCGGAGTTAACACATCCGCGCATCCCGGCCTTCCGTTTTCCGTTTTCCTTTCCAAACAGCCAACTGGGACACTCACCCGGGCCCTGAGCAAGCGAAAGGAAACCCACAGCGCCACGGAGAGCACGTAGATGACGATCGTATGCTGGTTACACAGACTTAGTCCACAGCAAAAGGCCCCTGCTTTACACACCTGCAAGGAGGAGAGGAGACCAAACGTCTAATACCGGCAATTTGAATCCGTTTTAAAATAGTCACAGTGGCTGGGACAGTCTTCAGAGGACTCCAGGCATGCAAGCTGGGAGCCCAAGAATCTCGTGGCAACCAAGAAGCAAAAATGGCCATCCAATTATGGACCACACTATAGGTGTCATTCAACACCTCAAAGGAAATTGTCTAAAGCAGAAGGCAGCATTGCAAGAGTTAAAAACAAGAGTTAAAAACAAAAACAACACAACCTTAAAAAGCATCAGCATCAGCACGGAAAATAAAAAAGTTAAAAGCAGGCAGAAAAGAACCCTTAATCTAGTTATAACAGTAAGAGAGGACGTGCGTCTGTCTGTCAGGAGTAGAGCTCCAAGACTGTGAAATGCAGACTCCTGATACTTGGTGTGCAAACTACAGGGGTGCCAGGCGTTTGCACCTTGCAGTCATCTGGGTTTTAAAATGCATTGATCCATTTTAATTAATTTAAATATGTTCTTGTGTGGAGTACCACCTGCAGTCACTAGGTGGCAGACAACCTTAACCACCAGAGAGCTTTGCCATCAACAAAGCTTGCAGGTGGTGGGAAAATTTATACAGCTGCTCTCTCTTTCCTTCCAAGCGGCAGACCCACCAGGGAAACGGAAGAGACTTGCTCCTTCCTTGGGGGCCTAAGTGGTGCACCATGGAAGGGGTCACCTGCGTGTGGCTTCACTCCGACACGGCAGGCAGGTGGTGTCCAAGTCTGGCAGCTGCGCATCTTTGCTTCGAGGGAGCAGCTTATCAAGCAGCAGGATATGCCAACCCACGTAGGACTGGTCTAGAAATCATATAATCCAAATTGAAAAGTGGCTTCACAAGGCTTAACGTGCCCAAGAGTTTCCTAATGACTAGGCCTGGATTCTTAGGAGGGGGTGCCCCATAAAATAAAGGGTCCCACCTCGTGTCTGGGAAGCGTGGAGATCGCCCTGTGTACACTGAGCATTTCTGAAAAGGGGAGAGAAGGACTTTATCAGATTCACCTTGTATCTGTTCTCAGCTTGGGGAGAGGAACTCATGCCTCGGTCACCCAAGCACCTCCTAAAACCAGTCCGGTGATGAGAAGGAAGCTTTTCTCAGCTCGATGGGCCATGGCAGGGCAGCGCTGGCTTGGCCCTGCTCCAGGCACAGAATGCGCAGAGAGAGCCTGGCTCGGCCTGGGCCCCCCTCTGGCGACAGGTCAAAGGAGAGCACGTGTCCCCCAGGAAGCCTTGCAGGATAAGGCTGAGTCCAACCTCTGACTTACAACCTGAACAATCTTCTGTGCAACTCAAGTGGGGAGAGAACCCAGCAGGCGGAGGGGCTTTTAAAGGGGTCACACACCCCAATGTAGAGTCTCCTCTCCTCTCCTGTATTTAAGACAACATATTGGCCTACCCTGGAAATGTCTCTAATGCCGGGACCACTTTCCTGCTAAAGCTCATCCCAAACTGAGTTCCTGGATTAACCCTGAAACCAGGGCTTTCAGCTGGCCTGGGATGTAGCGCAGCTGAGACCTTACTGCAGACCACCTCCACTGCCTGACTTTAGGTGGACTGGACTTTTCTCGAAGCACGGATCACAGAGGCCCCGTATGGGACCATCGTGGCTGCGCTCACTCTCTTGTTCGGACTTACGAATCATAACTTCAAGCCCCTCGCTTGCCCTGAAGCTGATACAAGAGGTCAAGGTTAGGTTAGGCTTAGGCTTATACGAGAAAACTCAACTAGAAACTTCCTCTGTTTTTGCCCAAAATTGCTTTGTTGCCCAGCCTTTCTGTGAAGCGTGGACTTTTGCCTGTTTGAATCCTACACCTTGAGTTAGCAAGTCTGTACAAGGGACCTCACCTTTCCCTGCCTGGTATACTTCTTCCTTGTCTGGACTTACTGTGGATCTTGGACCCTGGTTTGTATTCCATTGCCTGGACTTGTTGTGAGCTATTGTTTGCCTGGAATCACATACCTTCATCTTGGATTATCCAGAAGGTCCCTGTGCCTGGATTGCTAGGACCCCTGAAATGCTGATCGCTGTATCTTGATCTGCTATAATAAAGAGCTTCACTGAGATCTTTGTTCATCCAGCCTTTATCTAGGTGGACACTACGATCAAGTCCCGGGGCCTTCCTCCAATGGCCACTTCCAAGGGAGGCTTGGCTGGTGGCAACAAGAAGAGCCTTTTCAGGGGCAGACCCCCGGTTATGGAACAAGATCCCCACTCAGGCCCACCTGGTGCCAATTTTACTACCTTTTTGGTGCCAGGTAAATTCTGTCCTTTACTGCAGGACATTTAATTAGGGACTGGGGCCTTGTTAAATGCTTGGAGTCTTCTCAAATTATAATATTAATGTTGTTTTAAATTTGGTTTTAAATTTTGTACTAGTAATTTTTATAATGTTTTAATATGTTTTAATGGTTTACTTTATATTGTTCTTCAAATATACTATTGTGAACAACCCAGAGAGCTTTGGCTGTTGGGCAGTTTAGAAATGAAATGAAATGAAATGAAATGAAATGAAATGAAATGAAATGAAATGGTGGGTTTCCAAGGGGTTACTTAAAAGCCAGGCTCTGACAGTGGGCAGCATTTGGACTTCCATTTTTCCCACACATATTCCTTTGATCCTTCCTTTGATGAGAGCTTCAGATATACCAATAACTCCCTAATTAACCATGGCTTTCTGTTGCATCTAAAGCAACAGAAACTATGCTTACCAGTTTTAAGACAAGCCAGGATACCAAGCCAAGGTCTGAATCTGATTTAAAGTCCTGCCTTGTTCTGAACTGCAGCCTCTTCAGACTTCTTCACCGTACTCCCAAGTTCAAGGAACTCACAACCACCACCACCATTTCCATTCTTTTAACACAGATTAAAGACCTTTTCATTCTCATAAGATGCATAGTATCATCAGCAATCTAGTATGTCTGCTCTGGTTCTTCTGCCTTTAAAAATATTTGTTTGTTGACTAAATCTATACCCCACCCCTTTTTTTCTCATACAAGAAATCCAAGCTGGTTTAATCCCAACTTCAGTCTATCTGGATTTTATTGCCTTCATCTGGGGCCAACCTCTGACTGCCAACTCTAAGTTCCAGAAAGAGGCAACAAGGAGCGAGGCCTGCTCGGTGGTGGCCCAGCAATTCTGGACTGATCTTTCCACGGAGGCCGCCTGCTGCCAACACTGTTCTCTTTTTGGCATCATGATGAATTTGCCCTCTATTCTCAGGCATTTAATGGTACATGATGGATTACGTCAGCAGTTTTAATCAGGTCTAGTTTTACTGTATTTATTGAAATTATTTTAGATGTTTAACTATTTTAAATGTTGCATACTGAATTGTTATACTGTGCTTTATTCTATCTGCACTGTGACTATATTTCTTTTTATTATACTTCAAGCAACTGTGAACTGGACAGACAGCTTAATGTATTGGACAGTCTAACAGTAATGGTAACCACATGATCCTCTTCCTCTCCTCCATTACATCCTCACAACAACCCTGTGAGGTAGATTAGACTGAGAGTCAGTGACTGGATCAAATTCCCCCACTAAGGTCCACGGCCAAGTGGGCACTAGAACCGGGATCTCCCATCCTAGCCCAGCACTCACCGCTACACCACGCTGCCTGTACAGTAGCTCAACAGTGGGTGTTTCTATTCCATAAAACAGATGTATTGCTTTTAACATTTTCCGATTTCACTGGATTTTTATTTTAACATAAACAGTTTTGATGGTCTTGGCAGTAAAGAGGGATGCATGACCAACCAGGAGCACAATCGTACGTGGGAACAAGCCTTGCTGGACACAGTGGGATCTAACTGCCCAAGGTGAACGTGCGTCTCCTTAGACAGCAGGCAGGTGTGGGGCCGCACTGGAAACTAAAGCTTGTCTAGGAATCTGTTGTTTCCAAAAAGGATACTTCAATTGGTTCAAAATAGAGCTGCCAGGTTGCTGACGGGGACGGGGCAGCTTCGCTGGCTTCCCATTGAAGTCCGGGCCCAATTCAAGGTGTTGGTGATGACCTATAAAGCCCTAAACGGCTTGGGTCCTGGCTACCTGAACGAGCGCTTACGTCCGTATATGCCCGACCACCCTTTGAGATCTGCGGGAGAGTCCCTTCTCCGGGAACCCTCCATGAAAGAAATTAGGAGGGTGAGTACTCGGAGGAGGGCTTTCTCTGCGGTGGCACCCAATCTATGGAATGCGCTCCCCAGAGAGGTCCGCCTGGCGCCGTCGTTATTTGTTTTTCGGCGCCAGGTGAAGACCTTTTTTATTTAAACGTCATTTTAATTGTTAACAATATTTACTTATTTATCTGGCCAGGGCTACTTCTTTTCTTTTCTTTTATAACTTCTCTTTTATAACTTCTTTTATATCATTTATATTTTTATTTATATTATTAATTTTAATTTTATATTGATATTTTTATATTGTATTATATTTTATTGTGTTGCAATAATAATAATAATAAAGGAAGGTTCCTTCAGAACCATGCCCTGTCTGAACCCTGAGGTCAGGGCCTGCCCCGTGTTGCAGGGCCTTCAGTGTCATGGCACCGAACTTCGGAATTTTGTTTGGTGCCCGCTCTCGTGTCATTTTTGGCCCCAGACTAATTCACATGCCTCTTTTTTATAAACCCCCGTACAATGTTTTGACGCTGCTTGGTGTTATGTTTTGAATTCCGCTGACTACTTTTGTTCAGCTCTTTTACACTGGGACTCTTTCATCTTTTTGCTTTAATTTGCCCTGTTGCGATTTATTTTAACATATTTTAAGCTTCCCAGGGAATCCAATCAAAATGGAAGACTATAACTAAATCAAATAAACACAGGAGCCTTCTTCCAAGGGAGATTTGGCCTCAGGTGGGATGTGAGGGACGGCCGCGTGGGAAAGAAAATGCTGGGCTTCATTGGCCGCTTGCTCTGAGCGGCCAATGAAGGGGCTCACATTCAGCCCCCGCCAGAACGGACAAATCTGTCAAGAGCCACTTCTCTCCACTTCCCATTTTTCTCAATATTAAGTCTGGTTCATCCCAAATTTTGCAAAAAGATAGGTTTCAAAGTTCACACAAAAATTTCAAAGTTCACACAAAAATTTCAAAGTTCACACAAAAATCTGTGTGCATTTTCACTTAGCTTAGCGTACATATTATTTCAGCAAACAATTTTCTCCACATGATGCATTTCAGAATCTCCCCAAGCTCATTTCCCTTAGCATCCCCATCGGGTTTTTTACAATTTTCACGTATTGCTAAATTTGCTAAATGCAAATTTCAAAGGGTAGCTGAGTTTTGGTTTGCATAATGGTTTGAGAGGGGAAAATGAGGTTAAATGTACACTAAATTTCAAACAGGAGGAATTTCTCCATTGTCCCTCAGATCTGCTCAGCTGGGTCCATTCCTGCCATTTTGGAGAACAGCTACTGGAAAAAGCAATGCGAAAGAACAAAATGCCGAGGTAAACCCCTGGCAGTGGAAAACATCTGCATCTCCCTCTATAAAACACACAGAGAGAATTCCCTATTTTTAAAAGGTTGTACCTTAGTGTGTTTTTAATTTGTTTTCATCTCATATAATCACTAAGGCTGTGTTTATAAACAGGGCATTGTGCTAGCTGCCCTCAACACCGTTTTTTGGTGGGCTACAAATTAAATAAATAAAGGGCAGCATCTATGCATATTTTGATGGAATTCCCAGAATGCCCCATGCAGCCCCTTTTGCTGTCTAAGCAGTCATAAGATTGCATCTTAAATTAATTAATCCCCCTCCCTCGTTTTCTATCTAACAGTAAAAGGAGAAGGATGGGGGGGGCACGAGATCTTGCCTCCCTGTTCAATCCCTGCTTTTTCCAGTTGCCAACCGCAGGTGTTGGGAATGACCCGCTGCTACCTGGCACCCGAGAGAGCGACATCCAGCAAGCGAAGGTGACTCTGGGCCAGGCTGACAAACGGGCGACATGGACCAAGGCAGCGTTTCGCTCCCACTGGGAGAGACCCCAGGTTGGAGCGCACAGATGTCGGAAGCCGCCGCGCGTCATTTTTGCCAAGTCCGACAGAATCAGGTTAACGTGGGGTGGGGTGGGGGGACACGGCGCAGCGTCTTGATGCCGCATGGGGTACCTTTGATCTTTCCTGCGGGGTCGTCGCCTGCTCGTAGTGCACGGAGAGAGCCATCAGCAGCCCCACAAACAGACTGTTCAGGCTGAACACCTCCGCCGTGATGGACCACTGCCATGTGAGGCGAGAAAACCCAAACAGCCCCACAGCACAGATTCCTGCGGCGTGCGAGCCAGAGAGCCTGCGAACACAGATAACAAGGAAATGCATCTTCCCCGACAACGCTGCCCCCCCATTTAAAAAAGAAGACGACAGCGTGGCCGTCCTGCCCATTACCGCCCCCACCCCAAAACCCACAAACTATGCCACCAGCAAAAGGCACCTTCCTGATGGCTCCATGGGATAGTTTGTTTCAGCACGTTCTGCAAGTTTGCTTTTATTTTTAATTAAGCAGCCCTTAATTTGAACTTGAACGTCTGTTTTCGACAGCAAGGGTTCAACTGGAGTAAGCACGGAGAAATGAAAACAGATCACAATAAATAACCGGGGGAGAGGTGAACTCTGCACATGGGCAGAGGTGCTTTTGCGTCAGTTTCCAAGGATACCAGAGACAAGGTTCGGCAAGAAACATGTTGGGGGTGACCCAGGGCAGAACGGTGGCTGGCTGTTTTTGGTAAAAGACGGTCGACCGCAGGTGGTCCCGCTGCATCACAGCCACAACACGGGGGTGGAACGGGAAGAAAGCTCACAGCAGGGGTGGAGGGAGAGATTCGGTGGGAGCAAAGGTGACAGCCTTCTCCCCATGTGGCAAACGCCAGTCCCCCCCCCCCCGCAACAAAAGTCATGCCATTTGTTTTGGGACTTAGAAACATAGAAACAGAGCGAGTCAGAAGGGGTCTCCCGGGTCATCTAGTCTGACCCCCGGCCTCAACTTGGACCCCACTTCAGTCTTGTAATTGCATCGCAGTCTTGGAATTTACTTTTCACTTTTCTCTAGTTTTTGTTTGGTTCTTTGTCTTTAGTCCTAAGTGTTGTGTGAATGGACACACGTGTGTTGTGTGCTGTGTGAATGGACACACCTACCAAGGCAGCCATTTTGCAAAAGCACACATAACCCTTGCAAAATCCCAACGCTGCCCAGAACTCCAATATGTGGGAGACACCCTCCTCCCACAAGGGTGGGTTAACAAGAAGCAAAGTCATCAAATGCTAGCAAAGAACTTGGGGTCAGGTGGCCCACCTGTTCCATCCTGAATAATCCACCCCACCAAAGGCATCCTTTGGCTTGACAAAGGTTCAAACCATGTTGCTTCCAAAGACAGTTGAGGGATCCCAGCAAAATAGCATTCTAATGCTCCACGATGATCCATATGACTTTACGGGATTGAAGAAAAGGTGGCGATATTTGGGGGGTGAGAAGTATTCCGTTTCTTAACGTTCCTCAAGCACTTCTGGAAGGGGTTCAAGCAGTGGGAATGTTTCCATCCAAAAAGCGACCCGCCCCGAGCTGGAAGGGAGTTTGTGAGCTCATTTTGGGGTTCCTTTGGGAAGCACTAGCTCTCCCCTACCCAGCAGTGGGTCTGGGTCCGGTGGGCACGTGAGCCGAACAAGCGGGTGCCCAGCATCAGCATCTGGCGCCGCACGGAACATTCCTATGAAAAGCCAGGCAAGGGACGAGGGGAAGGCAAGTTCTGGGACATGTCCTGAAGGAGCTTTCCCGGCTGGGACCGGTGGGCGCAGGGCTGCAACACCCTAGCCCTGTGGCTGCATTGGCCTGGCATGGCAGCGGGGACTCCAGGCACCTGGGGAGGGGAGGGGAGGGGAGGGGAAGTGGGGAGGGGAGGGGAGGCCCATGCCTTCCCCCCCAGCTTCTCCAAAGTAGCATCATTCCAGGAGCACCAGCCCAGCACCAGTCTGTAGCCAGAACATGATCAGAAATGCTCCCAAAGGGTTTGGGCCCATTCAGCCCATGGAGCCGCAGTAAGAGTCCAGGAGAAAGCCGGCACGGGTTCGGTGAGTCCCACCCAGAGACTAGCAGAGACAGAGATGGGGAAGGAAGAGGGCAGGCTCTGAGAACCTAGCAGAGAAGTGGCTGTCCTTCAGAGCATCACGCAGGCTGAGGTGTCTCCCCAGGAGAGGCTTCCCTGATGGACCAGAATCCCCGGGCAGCTGCTATTCAGGAAGAGGACGGTCGCAGCCACATCTCTGCGATGCTGGGCCACATTTCCGTCGATGGCCCCGCTGGAAGACTTTGCCGGGAACGTTCTCTGCTTCACTGCCCCAAAGCTTCTCTGCTTGGGCATTCCTCACACTGACATGCCGTCCCAGGTGGACCTTTGTCTCTCGAACTTTGCATCATTAAGGACTTGCTTTGAAAAATACCATAGAAGGTGAATCCTTCTTTGCTGTGGTTGATGGATCCATAGTCTAGAGTTGCCGGATGGGTAGGACTCTTGCTCTCTCTTGGCCTTTCTATGCCTGGACGCATGTCGCATGGAGAGCCCAAATATCTGTTTGTACTCTGGACTTGAGTGTGGATTTGTTCTCACTCGTGGATTTGATAGGTGTGACACTTTGGTTCCCACAAGGATTTCAACCTCCACATATTTAGATTAGTTCAGGTCTTTCTGTGGAAAGCTTGCCTTGGAAAACTTACCCTGGGAATCATCCCTACCCTCTGTCCCACATTCTGCGTTGCCGAGAATACTACCCTCCCTCTACACAGCCATCGTTTTGTGGAATTATTTATACAGCCTATAGCCAATGTATGATTTCTAAAGAATGCAACCATTAAGCTTTTCCTGTGACATTTGCAACCATGAAAGAATCTTGCAGACAATGCCTGCGCCGTGCTAGAATCCCAGTCTGTGCGCGCCTGACGGATCGGGCCCATGATGCCAGGCAACAATTCGGGAAAGAAAAATGGTGGCTCTCACATTCAATAGTGGCCACCTTCTCTGGGCCCCAAATGACATTATTTAATTATTTGCATTTATTTGTTTAAAAATTTTCTATTCCCTGCATTACTAATAAAGTCTCTGGATGGCTTACAAGGAACAGAAAACCAAAACCAAAGCCATAACAACAGCACTCTGCATCTAAAATAGTAATAAAAACAAGGATAAAGCCAATTAATTTGTAAAATACTGGGAGAATAAAAAGGTCTTCACCTGACGCCGAAAAGAATGGAGCAACAGTGCCAGACAAACCTCCCCAGGGAGCATATTCCACAGTCGGGGTGCCACCGCTGAAAAGGCCCTTCTCCAGTAGCTACCCTCCTAATTTCCTTCATTATGTATTGGATGCATTGGCTTATTAAATTTCTATCCCAACCCTTTTCCTGCAAGGAAGCCCAGGTGTTTCCCATGGTTTCCCCCCATATTTTATCCTCACAACAACCCGTGGGGTGGGTTGAGAGTCAGGGACTGGCCCAGCTTCACCCAGTGAGTATCATATAGCCTTTATTTATATGTATTTATGATAACATTTCTATGCAGCACACAGAACTCAAGCCAGCTTCTCTGCCCCCAGACATGCAAATGAGGGGAGGGGTTTCAACTCTCTTCTATGCAGACTCTTCATTCTGAAGCTTTGTCCAAAAGTTTGAATTTGGGGGCACAGAATTTGAGAGGTCAGAGGGAAAAAAGCAACCAGATGCATTTTCCTCAACCAGGATGCACCCTGCTGCTCAGAGGAAGACAACCACCTGGTATAGCCAAAAACAATGAATTCAAACAAAACGAAGAAACAATTACCACTGCCCAGACAGTTGCTTTCCAAACCACAAAACAAAAAAGATGTGCTCTGAATTCCTCTCTAAAAGCAGAAAAATGAGCTATTCCAGAGCTTTGGGGCAGCCACCTGGAAGGTCCTGCATTTTATCATGGATGTTCTTACTTCTCTCAACATTGGGCCTTTCACTATGGCTTACAGAGAAAATCTCAATGCAGAGGGAGGACAGATAGAATGAAATTCCTTACAAGTCTCACACCATTAAGGACTGCCTATCAATACCACCATTTATTACACTTCTTTCTCATCTTTCAAGATACAAATCCTTCCAAACTGGCCAACAAGTAGCATTAAAGTCCATATAAGAATCACAACAAACATGGTTGACATAAAGCAGCTCCTAAGGAATTCCCATGGGGCTGTGGAGGGTCACAGCCCTGCAAGGGGGAGGGAAAAGCACTGTCACGGCAGGATCTGCGTGGCCCAGATGGATGGACAGATGGATGCATGGACTGAAGGACTTCCTGGATGCATGCCCAGCTTTCCACCAAAAAATGGCACTCGAACATTTGCCTGCCTGCCCCTCCCTCTCCCTCTCCCCTGAAATCCTATCCTTAAATGGTTTAATTATACTGGCATCCCAGCCTCCATCAAAGAATTTCAGGACAAGATACGCAGCCCCACAGAAACCCTTTGCGTCTTGCACCACTATCCAGCATATGCAGGGAGGGGCTTCCCAACACCCACGAGACAGGCTTGGCTCAGTGTGAGCAGACCAAGGTCATCCAGCGAACTTCGTAGCTGATTGGGGATTCAGCCTCAGATCCCTCAGCTTGACACCCTATGTCCATGGCCAGGGCCTTCCCAACATGGTGCGCCTGCAGGTGTTCTGGACAACAAGTCTCAGCCACCTTGAGCGTTGGGTCACCGGGCTGGAGAAGACCATGTGGTACCGTTGCTCTAACAAGCACTGCCAGCACATTCAACTGGCCCAGAAACTTCCCAATCATCATCGTAACATCATCATCATCATGTGTATGCCCTTGCTTGGTCCCTTCAGACTTTGGTCAGGCCATGGGGGCCAGCTGAAGTCCCACTGGGAGCTGCATCCAATCCATGAGCATCTCAAGATGCTCAGTACTGAATCCAACCACTGGGTTCATCCAGGTCAGTCCTGTCCATCCCAGCTCTCCCAAACTTGAGGAGCAGCATGGTAGATCTTGGAGAGCCCTTCCAAGTTGTGTGGAGCAGGGAAGAGAGAGACTGGTTCAACGGCAAGAACGCATCACCTGCTAAAGGCAGTGTAACACGTACCCTAGAAAATTAGGGCCAGGGAACACTCCAAAAGAGGAAGAGAAACGTCCCCGTCAGTCTGGTTCTTCATGCAGACTTGGAACCCCTCTTTCAGGAGAGCTTTAAGACAACAGGTGGAACCCTGAAAATTCAGATCTAATGTTGGAATTTAACGACCTTATGGTGTCATCTGACATGACAGCCAGGACTAAAGTC